CTTAAAGTCCAATCTATACATGAGCCCCTCCCTGAAATCCGAAGCTTTAAACTAAGCCCCAAGCCGCAAACCCCGAAACCCCCTAAACCCTAAACCCTAAACCCCCTAACCCCAAATCGCGAACCTCCACACCCAGGGTATAGGCTTGATGCTTGGAAGCTTATTCCGGGCCTCGCCAGCTTTGGCTCGAAATCCTAAGCCCTAAACCCTGCTTGGAGGTTCATGGGTGGTTATAAGTGGGGTTAGAAGAAGGGCAACGAAAGTTATAACCCAAACTTAAGGGGCTTATAACCCCGCTTATAACTACCCATGAACCTCCAAGTAAGCCCTAAACTAAACCCAAACCCTCTAAACCAACCCGGAACCCCTCAAACCCTAAATCCTACCTTCAAACCCTAAGCCCGAATCCCGCAGCCTAGGGCTGTTTCTCTTGATGAGGATCTAGGGTGAAGCGTTTGAAACTTTGGGGTTAGGGTTTAGGGAAGAAGCGTTTAGAGTCTAGAGAACTTAGGGTTTGAGATTCAAGGTGTCAGGCATGAGCCTTCGATCCCAGTGCTCTTCGGGTCCCCTACGTGTCGACGTGCCCCTATCGTTTGCAGAGTTTTTCTCGAGGGCTCTGTAGAGGCTCGGTGGACCCAAACACCCAAACAGTCGGGCTTGGTCAAGAAAACCTCGGGCTACGCGAAGTCGAGCCTTTGATTTCTCCTCAGAGTTCCAAATCTCGGAAACATCTCCAACTTGGACTTAGTAAGTCGGTTATAAGTAGGGTTATAATGTAGGGTAGCTCCATTTGGGGTACTTATGGAAGAGCTCTGGAAGCTTCGAAAACCCAGCTGCCAAAGCGTCAGTTCCTTTCAAGGCTCCCCGAAGACTAGACCGACGCGTCTCTTTTTCATGCGCTCTGCTCGTCCCAGGACATTGCAGGAGTGAAGGCGTACCAGGCCAGCAAGCTCCGGGGTTTTGGGATTTGCGGTTCAGTTTCAGGCTGAAGCTTAAGCCCTAAGCCCTGAAACCTAGTGACCCTAAACCCAAAACCCTGAACCCGACACCCAAAGCCCAAAAACCCCGAATCCCAGACCCTTCTACAAGTACCCTCAAGCCGCCGATCGTCAATCCTTGCCCTCACACTATCGACCAGCCTCCTTTAGCTCGTCCAGCAACCCCCAGCACGAGAAGAGCTCCCATGGATCCTTGTGGTATGGACTCGGAAGAGGGGGGGAAGGGAACAACGGCTGCCTCCTTAATGAAGGGAAATAAGTAAATACCAACACTAGTTTTTGGGGGCTCCTGATTTTAATTCTAGTATCATCTGCCCAAAACACCATTCTCATCATGGAGGCCCACCCTAAACCCTAAATCCTAAACCCAAAGCCCTAAGCTCCTAAACCCCTAAAGCCCAAACCCTTCTGCCTTACGCTTTGCTGTTGCCCTTAGCCTCGGGGCCCGGAGTTTTGTCGCTCGTTGGCCATCTTCGATGGCTGCTCGAAATCCCCATGGGTCTAGGGTTCAGGGTTTAGGGGTTAGGGTCTAGGGTTCAGGGTTTAGGGGTTAGGGTTTAGGGTTTTAGGGTTCAGGGGCTTAGGGTTTTAGGGTTTTAGAGTTTAGGCTTTAGGGTTCCGGGGTTTTAGGGGTTTAGGGTTCAGGGATTCACGGAAGAAGGGGCCCAAACTGGGATGAAATGGGTGTCGTGGTGTAGCCCCGGGGCAAGGCGATGCCACGCCTGCAAAGACTTCCCTCAGCACGGTTTAGGGTTTAGGGGTTTAGGGTTTAGGGTTTAGGAGTTGCGGGGTTTTAGGGTTTAGGGTTTAGGGTATTAGGGGTTTAGGGTTTAGGGTCCATTATATCATACTGAATCACATCATGCTATGCTGCACTCTATCATACCATGTTACGCTATGCTGCACTCTATCATATCATGTTACACGATGGCTCTATCATATCATGTTACACTATGCTACACTGCTACACTCTATCATATCATGTTATGCCATGCTACACTCTATCATATCATGTTAAGTTCTAGTACCCCATGCAGAAAGCTGAAACCCTTTCAATATCCTGCTGTCGTCTAGTGGTGTAGAAGAAGAAACCTGCATCTCGGGGCTCTACTTGGAAGTTCATGGGTAGTAAAAAGTGGGGCTACAAGTCCCCTAATATGGGTTATAACTATAGTTCCCCCACTTGTAACCCCACTTATAACTACCCCCAAAACCCCCGAACCCCAAGAGCCCGGTAGAACCCTTTAAAGGATCCCCTTAAAGGAGCCCCACTTATAGCTACCCATGAACCTCCAAGTACACGAGGGAGTTCGGGGCTTGTAGGCTTCAGGATGGCAGGGCTTTGCAGGAAGGGGGGGGGGGAAGCTTTCAGGTTCCGGAACTACGGGCTAAGCTTAGGAGCTTAAGGAGTTTAGGGTTGAGGGTTTCAAAGTGAGGAGAGTTGAGGATTTAGGGTTGGAGTTTAGGGTTTAGGGTTTCGGGTTTCAAACTGAAGAAAGTTGAGGGTTTAGGGTTTAGGGTTTAGGGGTTATACACACAACATGGGAGCCTCTAGAACTAGTAACTGGACTCTTGTGATGTTTTGTCCGTGGGGACATATGTCAGTTTACAGTGTCAGACAACTCACAAAATAGATTGTTGTTTCCATTCCTTCTAGTGTCGCAGAAGCTCTAGGTTCCCATATGGGTAGTTCTCTAAATTAGGGTCCTTTTTTGGGTCCCCAACATAGTACGGCACCTTATAAAAAGGACCCCAAAAGGGACCCTAATTTAGAGAACTGCCCATAGGTAGTTTTTTGCTTTGTTCCCGGGCCTTCTGCGGAATCGTTGTTCCGACTGCCATGGTTGCTATCGCAAACGCTGAGAGCTACCCGTATTGAAGCCAAAAGGAGGGCGTCGAGAGTAGGCGAGCGACATACGACGGCCATGCAAATTTGGCTATGAAGGCCCCTGGACACCTACAGAAGCACGGAGGAACCCTCACCCCGCATCAGGGTCTCTAGTTTGCACCTCGTCTTCTGTTCCAGGAGCTGGGGTACAAGTACCACAACGTCTGCCGGTCGCGTGGCCTTTCCAGAGTATCTGCAAGGAAAGATGGGAGTTGGTTGATGGAGAGATGGCTGTAGGGTGTTTAGGGTGTTAGGGTGCTTAGGGAATTTGGGTTTGGGGTTTGAGGCTTCGCGGGGGTTTAGGGTTTAAGGCCTTCCGTTAGATCTATGTCGACGACCACATGCCCCCTTTCAGCACGCCCCCAAACCCTAAACCCCAAACCCTAAACCGCCCGAGTAGGGCGACACGCTTTCCAGCCGAGGGCCCGAAGCCCGAAGCCCGAAGCCCGAAGCCCGAAGCCCTTAACCCCCCGAAGGCTTAATCCCAAACTTTACCTGGGCCCTGAAGAACCTACCTTTTCTAACGGCCTCTAGAAGGAAATCATAATAGGGAGCCCTGGGACGGGTCTTGGGTTCCATAAGTCTTAACGCCTTAAGCCCGCACAGTGCAGAATGAGTTCTCCCTTCTGCCGACGACCCGCAAGGCCCGAGTGGCTCTCGCACGATCCGGAGATCTTCTACGGCTTCTGGGGCACCTGTCGGCGCTGGCCTGCTTGATCTTCTTCTTTCAGATCCTGCAGAGGGAGGTAGCATCAGAAAGTTTGCGGGTGCTTCATTTTTGTTTTGTTTTTTTTTTGGGGTTTCCTTGTGATACAGAGCCGCGCTTACTCTTTTTTTAGAGCTCTTCGGGCTGTCTCCGTTGTGTAGAGCTGAGCTTTGCCAGAAGTTGGACCTTGTCCGGGTTTCGGATTGAGACGGGTGCTCTACTTGTAGGTTCATGGGTAGTTATACGTGGGGTTATAAGTAGGGTAACTACCCATATTAGGGGACTTATAACCCCACTTACAACTACCCATGAAGCTCCAAGTAGGGCCAGCTTCCTAGATCCTCCTTGCAGCCCTAAACCCAAGCTCTCTTAAATGCCAGCGGAGGAGGAGCTCGAGGCTTAGCTGGGATTCCTTGCTGTACTTCCTACTTGGAGCTTCATGGGTAGTTTTTTTTTGTGGGGTTATAAGTCGGGTAACTATAGTTATAACCTATATATTGGGGGACTTAAAGCACTCCACCTATAACTCTCCCTAAACCCTAAACTGGCCCTAAACCCTATAAACCCTATACAGCCCTTTACAGGAACCCCGAAAGGAGCCCCCATAACCCCACTTTTCCGAACTCTGAAATTTCCACGCAGAGATCATCGCCATCGCCTCCTGCCAAGGTCCCCTTGGTAGCAGTCCTTGGAGCCGTAGCCGGAGAGCCCTAGAGCCGAAACCAAGCCTTAGAGCCGAAACCCTGAGCCCAAAAGCCCAAGAGCTCAAGAGCCCAACAGCCTAAACCCTAAACCCAAAGCGATGAGAGGATGCTGGGGTTTGCCTTGAGGTGTTAGGACAGAAGGGCCTCGAGGGTGCTTTGGCCATTGGAGTGGGAGACATGTAGGGGCCTTAAGGTTTAGGGTTTAGGGTTAGGGCTATAGGGTTTAGGCTGTAGGGTTTAGGCTATAAGGTTGAGGGTGTAGGGTTTAGGGTTTTAGGGATTTACCGTACTATACTCTTAATAACGCCGAAATAGTATGGGTAATTGTTGAGGCCCCTATGGTGCCCGTACGACCCTTTGTGCAGCATTGGCTTTGAGACACCTTGAGATGAGTGGCATGGAACCGAAGACGAGAAGTCCCCACACTGCCGACCTAGGGTTTAGGGTTTAGGGTTTAGGGTGTAGGGTTCAGGGTTTAGGGTTCAGGGTTTAGGGAACCGAAGAACAGAAGTCCCCAGGGGGCAAGCAGGAGAATCATGGCTTTGTGCTAAGGCGATGCATCGGGAGTTGGCTGGTTCGAGCCGTATCCCCACTGAAGTCCAGAGCTCCCCTTTGTAAGGGCACTCCACAGTGACCAACTTCCCCTTTTACCCGAGAGCCTTGCCGGCATGAGGCACTTGGAGCTCGGGCCCATGCGCTGAGCCATGGATCCTCTCACGGCGCTGCGCAAGCAGACGGAAGCCAAGCAAGCCGAGCGTGCGGAGGCCGTGCCTGTGGCGACAGCGGTGCCGCTGCCCGCAGGCTATGCCAGCGCTCCCGCCGCTGCCGCCGTTGCGGTGGCCACCACCGTGACGGCCCCCCCTGAAAAAGCCGCGGCCAGCGCCAGCGCCGTGCCACCGCCCGTGGAGCCAGCGCCGCCGGCCCTCGCTTCCTTCCTGGCCCCGGCCACGGCGGCCACGGGCTCCTCGGCAGGCTCCGGCGCGTCGCCTCCGAGGCCCACTTTCGAGGGCACGCTGGCGGGGGAGCACGTGGTGGAGCAGGTGAAATCCTGCAGTTTGCTGGTGCAGAACCCCTTCTGCGAAGTCGCCGGCCGCCTCCAGATGACGCCCTACCGCCTGAAGTTCATGATCCCTAAGGGAAGCCTCAGGACCTGAGGGCAGCAGGGCTTCCCTTGACTGCTCCGGAAACGAAGACATACTAACATGCTAAAGAAGGCACACTACCACAGGGCTCCTACAAAACCCTAAACCCTAAACCCTATAAGCCCTAAAAGGCTCCCACAAAAAGCACGGTTTGAGTGAGCCACCTACGAAACATCGGGGCAGGGACACTTCCAGACCCCGAGGTCTCCGAGCTTAGCAATCTCCAGAGCTTAAGCTTCAGGGAGTCTGGAGCCCTCCATATCCCTCTCATGTTTAGCCTTTTAGGGTTCAGGGTCTAAGGTTTAGGGTTTAGGAATGAACTTCCGCACAAAACCACGGTAACTGAGAAGCCTTCATCTTCTCCGGTTCTAGCCATCAATTCGGGTGGCCGGGTCCTGGTTACAAGCACGCAAGCTTGGCCTTAGGGTTTAGGGTTTAGGGGTTTAGGGGTTAAGGGTTTAGGGGTTTAGGGGTTTAGGGTCTAGGGATGGATTGTTTGTGACCGCTCGTTGTCTGGAGTGCCTGCACATTTGCAGTAGAAAAAGCACCCCATGCAATAAACCCTACACCCTAAACCCTAAACCCTAAAACCCCTGAGCCCTAACCCTATGAGCCCTTACGGGACAAGGCTCAGACCCCGGGTCCAGGCCCTGCAAGCTTGATTTGGAAGCCAGAGGAATTAGCGGCAGTATTCCTTTCGGCTCCCAGAGACTCGAATGTCCCTTAATTAAGAAATATGCCTTAAATCTCATTGGGGTTCCTGTTATAAATTTTAAGGTATCTCCCTTAATTAAGGGATATTGGAGTCTCGGGGCTGCGTCAGTCTGGCCCTATGCACAAACGCAAGGCGCCTCAAATCGAAAGCTTCCTCTAACTATGCACGCCCCTTTTCTTCAGGCCACCCTAAATCCTAAACCCTAAACCGTAAGCCCTGGACCCTAAACCCGAGAAGCCTAGACCCCAAACCCCAAACCCTAAAGCCCTAGACCCTAAACCCCGAAACCCCTAAACCCCAAAGCCCTAGACCCTGAAAGCCCTACACCCTAGAAGCCTAGAGCCCCTAGACCCTAAAAACCCTAAACCCTAAAGCCCTAGAACCCTAGAAGCCTAGAGCGCCTCGGCCCCTTTTTGTCTCCGAGAGGAAAGAGCTCCAGTGGATGCGAGAGGCGAAGTACTTCGACGTGCCCTTCGGAGCCGTGGAGAGCGCCAAGGTGCCCAACGAAACATGAGGGTTTAGGGCGTTTAGGGATGATGCCTTCAGCCCCCCAAAACCCCCGTCAAGACGAATGCGAAGCGATAGCTTTGTTGCGCGATGACGCCGACCACTGCCAACATGGCCACGCGACCATGTTGCAACGCTGCGCCCCTGTAGCGGTCGAACTTCCCTGCATCACCTCCATCCCTTTGCTGGGTTCGACCAATGGCATCGTAGCGCCAACGCTTCCTGGCAAGGGCCCGAACTCACCGGACATGCGTCATCCCAACACTTCCTGCCATAAGATCGTGTTTCGCTGCGCTGATTTTTTTTTTCTGCCTCTTTCCCGCTTTTGATCCAGCCGTTGCCTTTGTCTTGTCTCCTTCAGGCTTGCGCTGGGTGCGGGAGCTTGCGAAAGCTACGAATACAAATCTTGAAATTCAGGGCACAGGAGGTTAAGTTTATGCGGCATCTTGGTTCCGCTCGGGTGGTTTGGGGTTAAAAAAAGAGTTCAGGGTTCAGGGCTTAAGGTTTGCTTAGGATGAGTCGTGCATAAGCCTTAGGGGTTTAAGGCTTTGGGTGTCGTGGATGGGATAAACTCACCCTAAACCCGAAACTCTACCCTAAACCCGAAGCTTTACCCTAACCATAACCCGAAGCCCGAAAACTTTAACGCTGGCGTTGCAGCCCAAGGTGCATCTCCAACAGGTGGTATCACCAAGAATCGGGTTTGGGTTTGAGGGTGTAGCGCAGTCTAGTGCCAACCTCGCACGCGTTGGGCCGAGAGGAGGAAACCTCCACGTCCACGGCTGGGCAGACGGTGTACAAGCTGACCATCACAACGAAGGAAAGACATCTAGCCCATGTGTACTTGATATGTAGCAGGGAGTCTTACTTGGAGGTTCACGGGTAGTTATAAGTGGGGTCATAAGTCCCCTAATATGGGTTATAACTATAGTTACCCTACTTATAACTCCACTTAAAACTACCCATGAACCTTGAAGTATCTCTTTCAATTTATGTCTGCAGCGGGGCTCTGCTGATTTAACTTTCCTGTTGCCGTTACATCCTTTCTCGGGTTTCTGGCGCTGCACAGGCTCCCATGTGACACCCTGAAGCCCTGAAAGCTTGAAAGAGCCTGAAGGCAAGAAGCCCCACGAAATATATAGGGCCTGATTAGCTATTTTTCTATAAAGTACCACAGAAAACCCTAGGCTAAGTATTACGGCCTCCTCATAATAGTCCGCTGCAAAGCCTCGGAAGCGTTTCAAAACAGCCGTCAGACTTCCATGCATGAAGCGCTGTCCATTCTCGAAGGGGCCAGGGTTTAGGGTTTAGCGTAAAGATATCGGCGGTTCTTTTTACGGCTTCAGGCCGATGCACCACCCCCAAATAACCGCTCAGCTTTGGGTTGGAAGCTCGAACTCCCAAGCCCCACCTCGGAAACCGAAAGTCACACTGCAGGTGGTCCTTAAACAAACGTACTACGCTCTTTACAAAAAGAGAGTTCCTAAGTATTAAGGCCTGCGTAGAGCACCCCTTGCTGAGGTCCTTGAGTAGCCCCGGTTAAGGAGCCCTTTTAAGGGAGTCCTTTTAAAAGGAGCCGAATTCTACTAAGCATCCCCTAAACCCTAAACCCTAAACCCTAAGCCCTAAACCCCAAACCCTAACAGTGTGCTCCGAAAGAGGACCTCCGCGTCCTCTGCTTCTTCATGCCGACGGATGCGGAGAGCCCGGCTCGAAGGGTAGAGCTTAGGGCTTTTAGGGTTTAGGGCGTTTAGGGTCTAGGTCGTTTAGGGTTTAGGGCGTTTAGGGTTTAGGGCGTTTAGGGTTTAGGGCGTTTAGGGTTTAGGGTTTAGGGTTTGGGGCTTTTAGGGCTTAGGGCTTTTAGGGTTTAGGGTTTGTTGTGGTTCCAGCAGCATCATAGAACCCAAACAAAACCCGTGTCTGGACACCCGACCAGGAACCACCCTGAAACTCAAGTCTGACTCGTGAAAGACAACTCGGGAAGCGATCCCGAGCAGGAGCCCCGGGTGCGCTGCACGAGCCTTGCTGAATGCCGATTTGCAATCTCCCTGCTCAGGTGGTTTTCCACAGAAGAGTCGAGCGCGGAATCTGAGTCGCGCCCTCAGCAAGAGACCTAGCTGATGGACCGAACGGCAGAAGCAGACATGGTCCGGATAAGGCCCGAACCGTCTGTCCGTCGCTCAGGTTGTACACGGCATCCAGCCCGAACAACTTGATATAACCCTGACAGGACAAGATGCCGCGGACCCGAGCGTCCGAAGCGGAGTGAACCGCGGGCGGGTCACGCAGCAGGCGATGCGCGGGCCCGGCGAAAAAGAATCGGGCCGAAGTCGAGAGCTTGTTCGCGTCCGGGCAAAAGCTAGGGCTTAGGGAACGCAGCAACACAGCAACATCCGTAGAACAGCAACAGAAAAAGCGACAGCCAAGCAGCCAAGCCCAGAAAGTACAAAGCCAAACTAAAGACTAGTCCAAGCAAGAATTGCAACGCGAAAGCTATCCCACTGTGTCCCTCAAAACACAATGCCCAGGGTTGCAACTAAGTCGTTTGTTTCGAGAACTTCGACTCTACGCGGGTAAAATGCTTATCAACACCGCCTACAAAGGCCCCGGGTGGGGAACAGCTTCAGCGCCTTTCAAGGAAAGGTCGAGTTGTCAGAGCAACTCGCGCGGCTGGAACCAAGCCCCTTAAACTCTGAGCGTCAGGGAAAAACAGCAATGAGGAGAACGTCATCCCGGCCATCCGCCCGAGGTAAAGCCGCGAGCTGAGATGGGACAGACGTCAAGTCACGCACACAGTCCTGTGCGCCGACTTGCTGTGTTGCCAGGTCCCCGTGCACCCATGATGCCACAGCGCCCACACCCACGAGCAACAGCAACACGAGTGCCACTCGATGCCGAGAACTGCAAGGGTCGAAGTCTCATAAAGGCAGAAACACCTGCCGACCGCAGCTCGTACCGGCTCCAGTACGCAATCCACTTGTGCCGGCAGGGCTCCAGAATGAGCATGGGAACCTCCGCGGAGCCGCGGCCACAGCAACGTTCGAAGAGCACCCCTGCTCAGCAGCACCTGCCTCTCAACTCCCACAGCTATCAGGACCTCGACCTTCGAGCCAAGCAAGGCTGATGCCGAACAAGACACATCCTTGCCGATCACGTCAGGCAGAGTAATAGGACCCCAGGTTGGACGACTATGAAGACATGATTGCCACGATGAAAGGATGTGGCAGAGGTCAGCAATCCCCCAGGCCCCGCATGCCCACGCAACAGTCGCAGCGTCCAGCATGTGTACTCTCTTTGTCGACTGTAGCTGCACTTGCATTCGTTGCATTCGGCAGGCTGGCCAAGTCGTCCGGCCAGGGCGAGTCAGAGAAAGAGCAGAGAAAGAGAGAGAGAGAGAGAGAGAGGTAGGTAACCATCGCAACATGCAGAGTGCAATCTCACAACACACACACACACAGACACACCAAGTCTTTGTGATGTGCTGCACGCTCGCCCAGGCCCGATGCCGGCACAACAGGCCGAGGCCGAAGCCACAAACGCCCTCTGGAGCGCTCCTAAGGGCGAAAAAGGGGCAGAGCGTGTGCGTGCAAACACAGACCATCAACTCAAGCACGTCGACTCGCATACACCTGCAAACTAAGTTTAGGGCTTTTAGGGTGTAGGGCCTTAGGGCTTTTAGGGTTTAGGGCTTAGGGCTTTTGGGGCTTGGGGCATTTAGGGTTTAGGGCTTTTAGGGTTTAGGATTCAGGGTTTAGGGCTTAGGGTTTAGGGCTTTTAGGGTTTAGGGCTTTCAGGGTTTAGGGTTTAGGGTTTTAGGACTTTTAGGGTGTAGGGCTTTAGGGTTTAGGGTTTAGGGCTTTTAGGGTTTAGGGTTTATGGTTTACGGTTTGGGACTTAGGGTTTAGAGCTTAGGGTTTTTAGGGTTTAGGGTTTGGGGTTTAGGGCGTTTTGTGCTTAGGTTTGGGGCTTTTAGGGTTGGGCTTATGGCTCTAGGGTTTAGGGTTTAGGGCCACGGATAAAACCTAACCGGCATTACGCTGGTATCTGCTTGAAACCCTCAACCCTAAAACCCTACAGACCGGCTTAAAGCTATAGAGCAAGCCCTTCCCGGACCTCCGGGGGAGGATCCAAACAGTAGATCCCTTCATGAACCCCCTCCCGGGAATCTGGGATTTAGGGATCCCTTAACGGGATCAGAAATGCTTCTATAGGGTAACCCTAAACCCGAGACCCTAGACCCTAACCCCACGACCGAAAGCCCAAAACCCAGGATGCGCCTGGTCTCTGAAGCCGTGGCGGCCTTCGGCTGTCCGGGTGCCAGGGTCTGCACCGGGAACCCGAGATCGTCAAGAGAGACACGACCTACTATAGAAGCCCGATGACTTACGTTTTTCCTGTGGGCCCTTACAGGAAATGATACCATAAAAGGAACCCCAAAACCCTGTCCTTATTGTTTAGGCCCCTACGTTACATTACTCGTCTGCCTGGTAGGTGCAGTATAGGTAGGTGTAGTATAAGTAGGTTTGACTGTCACATTTTGTACAAGAGTATGTGCATAAATACGTGAATCAGCGTATTTGTGCATTATACATACATACATACATACATACATACATACATACATATATTCATTTTTGGTATTGTCTTAGGCTTGTTGTAGAGCATAGGGTTTCGGGTTTGTAGTTGTTTTGCGGCATGTAAACGTTTAGGCTTGGGGTGTGTGGTGTTGGGTATAAAATTCCGTGACCATGGACGTTTACTTGAAGACAAAGGCAAAAACAGGATTTACGGCGCATTTCGTAGTGGGAATAGGGTTCCATACAAGGCAAGCCATCAACAAAGAGCTATTTTATGTATAGCTCAAACCAGAACAGACTTCGCGCTGAGGGACCCTGTCGAACAAACATTCCCCAAACTACAGTTTTGCCAGTATAGTGCCCTTCCGTAAATCATCTGTCAGGATTCCGAACAGACCCTAAACCCTAAGGCCCCAAACCCTGAGCCCTAAACCCTAAACCCTAAACCCAAAGGTCCCAAACCCCAAGGCCCCGAACCCTAAACCCGAAAATCCGTCAAACTCCACCCTCAAGCCTAAACCCTAGAAACCCTAAACCCGAACCCTAAACCCTAAACCCTAAACCCTAAACCCTAAACCCTAAACCCTAAACCCAAACCCTAAACCCAAAAGTCCATCAAACTCCGCAGTCCGAAAGCCCCAGACCCGCAAACCCTGAAGCTCTACTCCCTGGGACACGAAGGGCTTGAAAGGCCCGGAGCTCACAAACCCTTTGATAGGGTTTAGGGTTTAGGTGTTTAGGGTTTAAGGTTGAGGGGTTTAGGGTTTAAGGTTCAGGGATAGTACCCTTGATAGTCCCCTAAACCCCACGCCCTAAGCCTTAAACCCTAGACCCCGGAGGCCCGAAAAGAAGGCCGGCTTTTTCACGAGGCAACCCGGCCATGCTCTTCGCCACGAAGCATTTCGAGGCCTTGAAGAAGGAGGGGGCGCTGGAGGCCCGGGAGGGGGCCTTTGGGCTTCGGCTGTGGGCTTTTTTGGGAGCCTGTGAGGGCTTTAGGGGTTTATGGGGTTTAAGGGGTTTAAGGGGTTTGGGGGTTTAGGGGTTTAGGGTTTAGGGGTTTCGTAGCTTTTGTTGTTTTATGCCTCTTCAGAGCCTTGTGCTACCATTCTCGGCCATGGGCGATGTTTCAATCAACTGCTGCCTGGCTGGGTTTGGCAGTTGAGCGAGCAGCAATCATGAAGAATAGTAGGGACATTAATAGTTAGAGTAGGGTTTGGGGCTCCTTTACCAAATAGTTATAATAAGGAATGCAATAAGGAACCCGAAGGAATAGTATTGGTGATTACTTGGGCGTCTATAGTACCCGTATGTACTAGTATCATGGCTGGCACGATCAAAAATTCACTGACGGAGTGACGGGCCTGAGGGATTAGGGTGTGGCCTCCATAAATAAAACTTCTCTGCCCAACCCTAAACCCTAAACCC